TTTAATCGTTATAATCTTTAAATTCAGTGTGAATAGAGAAAATGTGTAATATAATTCATTTCTTGAACTGCACAGAAAATGCACAGAACTGCACAAATAATTTATTTCATGGTATTGTAACAAGCAAACGTTGAATACATTTTTGATTCGTGTAAAAATAATTATTTAACACGATAAATTTAGCTGTACTATGGTTATTTTTAATCTACGACCACAGGTCAACCTGATTTTTAATCCCTACGAAATTAATTTAACCACGAGTAAGTAACGAGAACGCTGAAACCTATGTTTCTATTGAAGAATATTGTAAAAACGTATAAATTGTTATATGCAATGTTATAACAAATTGTTAGAAGTATAAATTTATACCAAAAAATTGTGAGAATTAATAAATTATACGTTATTATAACATTACAATAGAATGCGAAATAGAATTACGAAAGAATCGGCGATTTTCTGCGAAAAACGAAGGATTTCCCGCGAAAAGTGACCGATTCCCGCGAGAAATTGTCGATTTCCCGCGAAAAGTGATCGATCTCCCGCGAAAAGTAGTCCGTTTCCCGCGAAAAGAAGGTTTCCCGCCTGACCTAACCGACGATTTTGCTAATGACTTTGGGGAGAGGGTACCGCAGGTATATAAGGACCCGCCGATGTCCCGCGAAATCATTTACCCTTTATACTGGGCCCTAGACACTTCGCGGCGTATTTTGACCTGAAGGTTCTGAGATGTGAATAGAGTGGTCGGGGGCTACTAGCTAGTCTATGTCCACCCTGTACACACTCAGCCTTCTTGTAACACTTGTATACATTAGAATCAATTAGAATTTCTATTACTAATTATTAAACAAATTTTAACAATTACCGGCACTCGCTAGGCACGTAATATCAGACTTTAAATACTCGACTTCGAACTTCGGTTTAGTCATAATTCTATTAATGTTATAATAACGTATAATTTATTAATTTTCACAATTTTATTATTAATTTATACTTCCAAAAATTTGTTAAAACATTACATATTATTATTTATACATTTTTGCAAGTTTCTTTGACAAATAAGTACGTTTCAACGATCTTATTACTTTCTCGTTGTGAAATCAAGTTCGGAGGATTAAAAATCAGGTTGACCCTTGGTCGTAAATTTAAAATAGCCATAGTGAAGGTGAAATTATTATTTTAAATAAATGTTTCTATACGAATTAAGAATCTATTCAACGTTTGTTTGTTGCAATACCGTGAAATAAATTGTATTATATATTTTCTCAGTTTAGACTGAATTTAAAGTTCGTAAGGATTAGAAATCAGGTTGACCTGTGGTCGTAGATTAAAAATAGCCATAGTGAAGGTAAAATTATTACGTTAAATAATTGTTTTTATACGAATTAAATATTTATTCAACGTTTATTTGTTGCAATACCGTGAAATAAATTGTATTATATATTTTCTCAGTTTCGACTGAATTTAAAGTTCGTAAGGATTAGAAATCAGGTTGACCTGTGGTCGTAGATTAAAAATAGCCATAGTGAAGGTAAAATTATTACGTTAAATAATTGTTTTTATACGAATTAAATATTGATTCAACGTTTATTTGTTGCAATACCGTGAAATAAATTGTATTATATATTTTTTCTGTTTACACTAAATTTAAAGTTCTGTTTACATGTTATAACAATTAGAATGTAGACGTTTTGCCGTTTCACGGTTTTTCCTCTGTTAATTATGTGTTTATAAATCATTTCAAACTAAAGCAGCACCATGCCCACCCGAAATTAAACCGTCTCAGTAGTTTACCGTAATTAATAATCTATTTTCTGAATTTATACGAGAATTTTTGAATTTTAGTAAATACTAGAGTCAGTGCATCGCGTATTGAAATAATAGCTTATACAGATAATCTTTTGAAATTACTCTTAATTAGGGAAAATCTTGAATCTTGTATGGAAGATGAAGATTTTCAGGAAATATTTATTTTTCAACAATGAATTTTTGTTTTATCGATTAATAACGTACGAAATGATTTTTGGAAAATTTTCTTCGTTTGAACGTTCGTTTAAGGTTCGACTATGATTATCAAATCTCTCGAAACACCGTAGAATGTTCAATTTTAAAAGTAACTTCTTCAATTTTTGGATAATCTGGGTAACGTGTTAGTGTTGACGATACACTTTCGAGTATAGACGTTAAAGTTCATAGAGTGGTCGGGGGCTACTAGCTAGCCTATGTCCACCCTGTACACACTCAGCCTTCTTGTAACACTTGTATACATTAGAATCAATTAGAATTTCAATACAATAGACTGAATAACAATTCATTTTAACTAATACCTATTAGAAATTTTCCTTTTAAAACAAATATAAATCATTTTACCAATTACTGGTACTTGCTAGACATTTAATATCAGACTTTAAATATTCTCCTTTCGGTTCTTTTAAATACAATCAAATAATTTCTTCAATTATCGATACTGACTTGGAATACTCCGCTTCGATGTAAATCTGGCGTGAACGTGTTAATAAGTAAATATTGTTCAAATTATATCGTGTTTGATATCATTTTCATCAGAAAAATCTCATCAATATGTTAAGAAAAATTTCCGTATAAAAGAACGTAAAATTAAAAAAGTTGATATTTAAATCGCTTGGTTGCCGCGATTCACGTTTCATGCTTATCTTTTATTCGCTGTCCTTGGCTACGTTCGGCAAACTACAAAGGCGTGCGCGAGGCTTGAAAACGTAGTCCCTGACTCTACGAGTGTCAGGTTTAGCTTCCTTGCGATCTGACAGTTGTGGAGAATATACTGTAATTGCTGTTTGCAAATTAGAGATTCTAAAGGTAGTGTTTGTTTAAATTAAAAACAGAAAAATCTGACTTTTCGTATTACACGATCTAATAAAAAAAAAATCTTCTATTATTTAATTACCATTACAAGTAGTCGCAAAAAGAACGAAAATTTCAGCTTGGACCTCCGTTGTCCTCCAACCTACAACAGCGCCGAGTTCTACGTCTCCCAGCTATCCATATCTCGTGGCAGAGAAGCAGAATCTTACCACAAGGTACAAAAATCAAGAAAAGAAAAAAAAAATAACTCAGCTATATTTCATTATCTCGACTGGATTCTCAGGTGAATTGGATCTGCGACCAGTACCAAAAATCGAAATACGGTCAGAGAATATCGAAGCTGATCGAATACTATTGCGCCTCAACCTCACGGTTAAACGCGCTTCCGGTCATATTCTCGGACATTTCTTTGTGCCCGCGAGATTTCAAAAAAGCTCGTGGAATCACTCAGCTACGCTGGATCACCTGGCGAACTTTCGTCGATTACAAAAGGAACCCAGCCTCTGTTCTTCTAAGATTCATAACGTACATGGTGAGACGTCAACCCTGTTGCTCGCCTCTCTTCTCTTTTGAACGCGTTAAGCTTGGCTTCTGCTCCTCCCGCTGTGCTTCAACCCTTTGATACCTGAGCAATATTTCCTCGACTTTCATTTTAGCAGTCGGGACACTTGGAGGAAAAATTTTTATACCGAGGTTAATTTTAACTTTGAAAAGTCAAGAGATTCATTTTAAATTACTTAGAAGAATCGAAAGATTAGTTTTAAATTTGAAAAGTCGAAAGATTAATTTGAAATTTGAAGAATCGAAAGATTAACGTTAAATTTGAAAAGTCAAGAGATTAATTTTAACTTTGAAAAGTCAAGAGTGTGAGTGAGCTTCAGTACTCATGCTTAACTAATTATAGGAGATAATAATTTCTAGATAGTCGAGTTGATATTTTTTTATTTAATATTTTTCGGTGAAAGGTGAAAAGTTCGAGTGAATGCGCTTCCTCGTGAATAAAAATGGTAAATTTGAGAAATTAAATTTCTTCGTTTTTTTTTTTTTTTTTTTGGGAGATTGGTTTCAAAGTTTGGAAAATTGCTTCCCGTTTGAGTTTTACCGCCTCGAGAGTTCTGTAAGATTCAAATTGGGCGTCTTGCTTGGTTTTGCCGCGCTACAAACTTTATTAAGGCTCCCTTTGCTTCTTTCTGTCTATCCTCGCGGATCCCTGTCCCGGCTTTCATTAACCTGAATTTGTGAGCGATCAAGTTTCTGGAATGAATGAGAAATTTCGTGCTTTGAAGTACTGGCTTTATTGAGTTTTTCAGCGAATCGAGTTAGTGCGATGAGAATGTGAGTCGTTCAGCTGTATTGATCAATGTTTTGTGCCCTTAAACACCAATTTTTTAGATTTTAGTATCCTATGATTCTAGTAAATAACAGACTTAACATCCTTGAATCCTTAAATTCATTCATAATTTTCTATTTTGTTGAAGAACCAACTTAGCATCCTTAAATCCCCAAATTAAAATTTTTTAAAGTTCTAGGTGATTCGTGATTTACTGAATAACTGTAAATCTGACTAAATAACTGACTTAATATCCTTAAATCCTCAAATTTCAATTTTCTGCAATTCTACCTCATTCGTAATTTTCTACCTTACTGAAGAACTAACTTAGCATCCTTAAATCCCCAAATTTAAATTCTTTACAGTTCTAGTTGATTCATGATTTACTGCATAAATGACTTAATATCCTTAAATCCTCAAATTTCAATTTTCTGCAATTCTACCTCATTCGTAATTTTCTACCTTACTGAAGAACTAACTTAGCATCCTTAAATCCCCAAATTTAAATTCTTTACAGTTCTAGTTGATTCATGATTTACTGCATAAATGACTTAATATCCTTAAATCCTCAAATTTCAATTTTCTGCAATTCTACCTCATTCGTAATTTTCTACCTTACTGAAGAACTAACTTAGCATCCTTAAATCCCCAAATTTAAATTCTTTACAATTCTAGTTGATTCATGATTTACTGAATAACTTACTTAATATCCTTAAATCCTCAAATTTCAATTTTCTGAAATTCTTCCTAATTCATGATTTATTATTTTGCTAAAGAACTAACTTAATATCCTTAAATCCCCAAACTTCAATCTTCCCCAATTCTACCTAATCCATGATTTACCATTTTCCTGAACAACTGACTCAACATCTTTAAATCCCCAGATTTTAATTTTCTGCAATTCTACCTAATTCATGATTTACCATTCTACTGAACATACTGACTCAACATCCTTAAATTCCAAAATTTTAATCTTCCCCAATTCCACCTAATTCATAATTTTCTGTTCTACCTTAGAACTAACTCAACATCTTCAAATCCCCAGTAAACTAATGTAAGTACTTTACCCCACTCAATGACTCATTCAGCACCCTCGAACCTCCTCTACACCAAATTCTCTCTGTCATTCTGAAATCCACAATCTTCCAATTCGCTGTTTCTCCAATCCAACAGACGTGCCCCAGTTTCCACGAACGCAAGGATCCCCAAAAAATCGAGAAACTTGCACTTAAAGTTCATAGGGCTGCTGATAGCATCTCCGTACGTGCACATCACGGAACAAGCGATGAACCAGGGCAGCATACAGAACATGCAGGGTCTTCTTTACCTCGTAGTCGTCGAGACAGTGTTCACGTTCAATTATGCCGTTTTCTACACGTTCCCACAGGAACTACCACTTTTACTCCGCGATATCGCCAGTGGACTGTACGGCCCGACGCCATACTACATCAGCAAAGTTATAGTTCTGGTGAGAACCTAAACTACTGAATCAAATCACCAAATCATTCGAATGATCAATCTAAAATTCACTGTCTTTAAATTCGAATTTTGCGATCATCTGTGACTAATTCTTACGATATTATTGTTAACCCTTTTAGCGAAACGTGTATACAGGGTGTCTCATTTGTAATGGAGATTTAGATATGTTTGTGTTGCTGTTGAAAGTAAGAAAATAGGACTGAAGGAGATTATGGTAGAAAGAAGGCTTGTAACATTATTTTGAAAATGATAATAGGTAATTTGGCAAAATATGAGATTCTGGGAAATCGAATGGCGACGAAATTGAATTTCCAATTTCAATGCACGGATATCGTGGATTTGGTGGAAATTTTCAGATCCCTGGGGCGATAATGCAGCCATTGCTGTACTCGGCTTTCATATTCACAATCACCGGGCTGAAGGGTGGATTTTTAGGATTCGTTTACTTCACGCTGCCGGTAGTAGTCTGCGCCATTTCAGCGTCCGCTCTTGGTAAGAATCTTTTCTGTGGCAAAGAGGTGGATAAAAATTGCGATACATGTGTCGAGAATAGAAGTACGCAACAATAGAAATGTGAAATCACTGCTTTCTCTGAATTTCGAAATCCAAAAATTTTTTATCCAAAATTCTACATTTTCTGAGTGTAAAATTTTTTATTTTCTCAATCTGAAATTCTAAATTTTCTGAATCCAAATTTCGAAATTTTCTGAGTGTAAAATTCTAAATTTTCTGAATCTGAAATTCTAAATTTTCTGAATCCAAATTTCGAAATTTTCTGAGTGTAAAATTCTAAATTTTCTGAATCTGAAATTCTAAATTTTCTGAATCCAAATTTCGAAATTTTCTGAGTGTAAAATTCTAAATTTTCTGAATCTGAAATTCTAAATTTTCTGAATCCAAATTTCGAAATTTTCTGAGTGTAAAATTCTAAATTTTCTGAATCTGAAATTCTAAATTTTCTGAATCTGAAATTCTAAATTTTCTGAATCCAAATTTCGAAATTTTCTGAGTGTAAAATTCTAAATTTTCTGAATCTGAAATTCTAAATTTTCTGAATCCAAATTTCTAAATTTTCTGAATCTGAAATTCTAAATTTTCTGAATCCAAATTTCTAAATTTTCTGAATCTGAAATTCTAAATTTTCTGAATCCAAATCCATGAAAATGAATAAAAATTTTGCAAGAAAAACTAACGCAAGAATGAGGCAAAAATAAAAATAGATGATAGCCTTGAAAAATAAACATTTTTAATAGAGATACACTTGAAAAATATTATTAGAGATTCAGTTGATCAGAATTACGAAAATTATCGAACAGGTTGCTTCCTATCAGCTTCATTCAAATCAGTGGATACAGCTTCTCTATTCTCCGTGCCATTGGACTTCCTTGGCCTGATGTTCTGCGGGATTTACTTACACCTCGGGTGAGAAGAACGATCAGTACCTTAATCTTAGAACTGTCTGCATATCGTTTACTTCCGTTTCACTATCATTTTGCCTGAGACATCGATCGCTAAGCTTGGTAATGATATATCATTATTCGAGCTTAGGTGATTCCATGAAGATTCGTGGATTTAACCCTTCGACCACCTCCGACGAGTCAGATTTGTCATTCATTTCTTTGCTCGAAATTGACAATGAAGAGTTTGACTCGTCGTTTAGTTCGAAGCATTATTTATTACATTATTTTCAAGTAATCTTAATTAAATTTCATTTAAATTTACTAATTATACAGTGAATAATTCAATTTAATATTAAGCTGACTGTAACTTGTAAATTTCGTCGAATGAAATTAGTATGCAAGGGATTAATAGAGATGTCAGGAGGTTTGAATACGCTGGAAACATTTTTTCAGATACCTGACGCCAGGTATCGCGTGGCTGAAATACGTGTCTCAATTCTATTACGGCCTCGAGGCGGTTTCTTTGACGCAGTGGCTGCTGATCGATCACATAAGTACATCATTATTATCTGAACTCGATGGAATTAGCGAGTCTTCCTTAGTTTGCCTTCATTTTTCTGAGATTACAATTCGCATTACGAAGGTTTCAAAAAGTAAAGTGGATCAAAGTTGGGAATATTTTTATTCCAAATCTAAATGCATAGAAAATTCAAGGATAGACAATTTTTTAATTTTTAATTTTGAAACTTACACAGAAAATTGAAAAATCTGAAAGCACAGAGCATTCAACAGTACACGATTTTTTAATTTCTAAATTTTCAAACTTGTACAGATAATATATTAAAAAATCTAGAAGCATAGAAATCTGCACAGTAGACAATTCTCAACTTTCTAATTTTGATGCTTAAGTTAATAAAAAGTTAACGAGGCTAAAAATTGAGAAAGTAGAGAATAAGAGAATACTTTCAAGTGAATTCCAGAAATTTCTAATTTTCTACCCTTGCTTCTCCCAATTTTCATTTCTGTCAAAAATTCTAGAACGGAGAATTATAAGTTCGATTCGATAGAGTCCAAAAGCGTGAGAAATTAAGCAACAGAAAATTTGTATTCCTTCCTTTTTTATTTAAGCACTCTGTTAAAAAGGGCAGAAAAATCCTATTCGGCATTTCTTAAATCCGAATTTCTCGTGTCTGAAGATTGCTCACCGGACCCGGAAGAGCCTTGCATCTCCAGCGGAATGGGCGTTCTGGATAAATACGGCTACTTACCAGAACACTACACCATGGACATAATCGGCCTTATGGTGATTTTCGCGGTCAGCCATTTAGCGGGGTATCTAGTAATTAGGCACAGAAGTCGCAAAGAACCTGTCTACTAAATCATTTTCACATTTCACTTGAATCTATTGATTCACCTGAAAACTTCCTTTAAAGCGAATGCACAAATATTTTACAATGTTTCACGACGATTTACATGTATACATCTACGTTAGGCGAATTTCTTAATCAATTGGTTAAAGAAGAAATATTTATTCTTGCTACGATCATTTTCGATCTCCTTAACACTGGTACTACCGGCCGGATGAAAATGACCCATTAGCAACTTTCCAAAAGCAGTGAATGTTCGATACACAGCAGGTATTACCATTTGTAACTTTTCGACTTTATTTTCTGCATGTATGCTTCTGTTTGTACCGATCTAATCGAATTGTTCATTCACATTATAGTTACGTGAAAATGACCCATTAGCAACTTTCCGAAAGCAGTGAATGTTCGATACACAGCAGGTATTACCATTTGTAACTTTTCGACTTTGTTTTCTGCATGTATGCTTCTGTTTGTACCGATCTAATCGAATTGTTCATTCACATTATAGTTACTTAAAAATTCACTTTTGGAAAGTCGTTAATAGGTCATTTTCACCCGGTTGGTAGATCTAGTGTTAAACGAACGATTGAAGAATTGTTCGTGTTTTAACACTATCGCGAAACACAAATGTTCATAGCGTAAGTAATTGTTTAGTACGATTTTAAGGATTTTTAGGTACGTAAGTTTGTTACATTGTATGTATTAGGTTGGCCAGAAAGTTCGTCCGGTTTCTGGCGATTCCTCAATTCAGGCGTTCCAAAGTGCAACTAACTTCTGTTTCTTTGTTGAAAGCAGATAGTCATTTGATACATAGGTAACACTTAACCTCAAATTATATCTAAAGAGTTCGTTAATCCAGTTCTTATGGAAAACCAAAAGGAGCATTTCCGGCACATTATACTGTTTTATTTAAAAAAAGGCAAAATCGCGTCGGAAGCATCTAAGGAGATCAGCGAGGTGTACGGGGAGAATGTCATCGAAGAATGCGTATGCCAAGAATGCGATTCACCACGCTCTGGTCAACCACAAGAGACTGACAACGAACAAATAAAAAATAATCCTCGGTATACAACACGGGAAGTGGCACAGGAGCTCCAAGTATGAAAAACAACCGTAGAAAATCGTTTGCATCAACTTGGTTACGTTAGCCGACTTGAAAAACCGCACGAACTTTCTGGCCAAACTAATAGAATAGTGAAAAATTATTAGGTCATCCTGTACGTTCGTAAATCATTCTTTGGCTGAAGTTTAGATGAATATTTCAAAAGTAAATTTAAACTTTATAGAATTTAAATATTTCAAAACTTTTCCCACCTTCGACACGAACTTACGGGACGACCTGATACTTCGAATCGGCGAAATTTATGTATATTTTGTGTGTTTATTAGAAGTTATCGGATCTACCGTTAATTATAGAACAGTTATTTATAACGTAGCGTTGATTTTTCTCCTCCTTCGTACACCGAAATATCCAGCGAGGCTCATAGTAAGCGTCAGAGCAGCGAGGCCGCTCATGTCCCAGGCGAAATTTGTCTCCTCGAATCCGTATTCCGAGAGAACTTGCACTCCATTTCGTAAGCAGGGCAGATCGCTGGACGACTGACAGTCTAATATAATTTAATTCGATTAAATCGGTGAATTTTGAGTTAATTCACGTGAAAATTTGAAATTCCTTATTTTCTATTGGATTACTACTCCATTTTGCAACAGGTCGAATTTTAACACCAGAAAATTTAAGAAAACCTTACAAAATTTGCGTAGAGTTTGAAATTAATTTTCTTCATGAAATAACAGTGTTAACTGTTTTTTAAATTGAAATTAAATAAAACTTTCCAACATTTTTGGTTTTCTAAGATTAAAAAAGAGTCAAACTTCCATCATTTTGTTTAAAAATTGACAAATTACTTAAATATATGTAACATATTTATTTATATTTTGAAATTTTAACGAGACGAAGCTCTGACGTGCAGTTTGAACACTCTGATCACAGCTTCGCTCGCCACGAACTGCATAATTGCAGACGGATAATTGAATATTCGTATCTTGACAAGATTAAAGTGGACTTTGATAGAATATATATTCGGTTGTGAACTGCTGCCTATCTGCAGGAACATTTCTCTATATTTGGGAACGATCCTTGTGACTGATATCCGCGGAGTCGCGAGAAGCTCGCATAATTTATTCAATGCGGCAATATGCTCACCGATGTCGTCTACTCGTGACCAATAAATTATGGAAAGAGCTTCGTTCAGGTAGAAGAATATCGAGAAATATTTAAAACACGTCAGGTACGTGGGCAGTGACCTGAAAACATCAACGACGCGTTACGGTTATGACCTGTCGACGTGTTGGAAAAGTTACGTTCATTTTAGAGGTATCGGTAAGTATCAGGAACGTTTCAAATTCTTTTCACGCGGTACTCGTGAAATTTGAGCAGCGTTTAACTTACTTTTGTGCGCTTTATTCGTGAAATTTTAGCGATATTATTTTAACTTTGCTTTATTTTGAGCACTGTGCGAATAAAATTTGGAATTCATCGTTCTCACATTGCTTAATTTTGAGTATTGCATTTGTAAAGTTTGAGCGGTGATTTCTAAATTTCGTTTAATTTTGAGCTGTGCGTTTTTCGAGTTTGAGCACTGTTTTGCTCGTTTTCAATATTACATTAAATAGTGCTTTAAAATTTTGAGCACTACTCTGATTGTTTCGTTTAATTTTGAGCGACACTTCACTAAGTTTGAGCAAAATTTTCCAGAAGCCGCTTAATTTTGAGCGTTGCATTCAACCAAGTTACTTAATTTATTTCTCAATATGGTACTCATAAAATCTGAGTACTATTTTACTCTTTTGGTCTAATTTTGAGCATACTCATGAAGCTTGAGCAGTGTTTAAGCATCCATTTTATTCAATTTAAAGTATCACGACTCGTAAACTTTGAGCAATAATTCTTTCACTAATTTCAGCAAAAGAATTGATGTACGATACCTGAGACTGTAAAACATTCCAGCAGTCAGTAGAAACAGCATGTCAATGGGCACCATTATGGATGTAGCCATGTCAATATCGTCGATCCAACTGCAGAACATTAAACCATACGCTGTGCCACAAATTGCAGCTGCTGACGTAGTTAAACAGTAGAATAGAAAATTCACAAAATCGAATCTAGCGATTAGGATGAAGTATATGACTGCTGTGAAGATCACCGCTTTCAGAACAGCCTTCGGAATCTGCAAAATATTTCCTTCCTTTACTAACACGTCAAAAAATTTCCAAAATGAAAAATATCTGAACTTTCTCGAAACTATCGAAATGTTCAATTGTTCCCACTCTCACGAAATAATTGCAGAACAAGTTCAATTCCACACAATAAAATACAGACAAAATTGAAATTCTCCTAATCAAAATTGCAATTCCAAACACACACACACACAACTCATAAACTTAAACTTAGAATTAATATTGATAAAAATGGAAGTTCAGTTCCACCTAATTAAAATTGCAATTCCAGGCACACGCACAATTCCCAAATTTCAACTCGCAATCAGTATTGATAAAAATAGAAATTTAGTTCCTCCTAATTAAATTTGCAATTCCAAATACACACGCACACATACACACAGGTCACAAATTTCAACTCATTGTCAGTATTGATAAAAATGGAAGTTCAGTTCCTCCTAATTAAAATTGCAATTCCAAGCACGCGCAATTCCAAGCACGCGCAATTCCAAGCACGCGCAATTCCAAGCACGCGCAATTCCAAGCACGCGCAATTCCAAAATTTCGGCCGAGCATTGATAAAAATAGAAGTTCAATTCCTCCTAATTAAAATTGCAATTCCAAGCACGCGCAATTCCAAAATTTCGACCGAGTATTGATAAAAATAGAAGTTCAATTCCTCCTAATTAAAATTGCAATTCCAAGCACACGCAATTCCCAAATTTCAACTCAATATTGATAGAAATAGAAATTCAATTCCTCCTAATTAAAGTAACAAATCCCAACTCACACGCACGCACGCACAACTCTCAAGCTTAAACTTAGAATTACTATCCATAAAAATTCTCTCGTTCACAGTTCACACTTCGTCCAGCCGCAATTGCAGAAATTTTTATCGTCGCGAAATGTTCAGTGAGAAATCATAACGTTACCAGTCCGAGGAACGTGGCGACGTAATAGGGCCCGCTGCCATAAACGCCGTCCTCCCGTAGATAAATCAAAAGCTGGCCCGGGAATTCGTAAATCACCGAGTAGGCGACCGTGAACGAAATTTCAGAGCTCATCATGTACAACGCGCCCCTCGCGTTCTGCACGCCCTCCTGCGTTCCTGGATTAATTCCCGTGTAAAAAGTGGCCACCGCCGCCATGGAGAGCTGCGATTCATTTAAATTACAACTTCGTCCCTTCCTTTTTCCCCCCCCCGCTTTCTTCTCTCACCGACAGTACGCCGCCGCCTCGTTTGCAAAATTGCGCACTGTAATTTTTCCCACCCGGAAAACCCGTTTCAATTTTCATTGCTTTTCCTTAGTTTTCGTTTTTCCAATTTTTCCCTCTTCTTTTTTTTTCGTTTACTCTTCTTTACCAGGTGAGTTATCGAGATTTTCAGCCAAATTTATCGAACGTTTAGCGATTGGATAGTACCAGAGGAGTGATAACGAATTATTTTTGTACTTCAATTTAACAAATTTCGTGGATTTTCATTAAATTTAAGGTAATTTAATTTGTACCGCTGTTGAACGGAATTTTGGCGAATGTAATTCTCGCATTAACCGTTTCGCGACGGCGGAACTAGCCATCAGTGCGCCACTAACGAACGGGTCGTCGTGCCGTTAGTGCACACCATACGTATTAAGAGTGTCTCACGTTTTTTCAAATCTTAGAGGATTTCGTTGGAACAGCAGAGGACTTAA